TGACAAATGGCAGCATTGGGGTCTCCGGGAAGGTAAGGACGGAAGTGTAACGCTTGCGGGGTGTTGGGGGGAAGGAGTGATGAAGAGGCTACCGTAGTGTTGAGTGGATGCCATTGAAGTCTCCTCAGTGCTACTTGTGGCTGCTGAGACGTGTATTTCCCTTGTCTCGCATACTAGAAGCAGAGCGTACAAGATCTGTTTGAAGCGCTGTCGTGGAAGCGACTGGATAGGAAGACGCTGGTGGACAGGGCCCGATTAATGGTGGCGGAGGAGGAGTTGGAGTTGGTCAAGGCTGTCGAGGAGACGAAGAGAGTACTAGCGGAGAAGGAATCGGAGCTGATCAAGGCTCGGGCGGAGAACAAAGTGGAGTTGGTCACGGCTCATGCAGACGCACGCGTGCTTCGGGTAGAAGCTCGGGCGATCAAGGCAGAGCTTGAAAACGCCACTTTTCGACTCAAGGCGAAAAATTTAGAAGTATTGCGGTTGTTGGGACACAGTGTGAACCTCCGCCGCGCCATTGGTAAGTGTATCCAGGGGATGGCTCGAGGGCGTGCTTGTCCACCCGTGGAGCTGTTGTCAGGATGCTTATTGGTCTTCGCATAACACGGCCCTACACGCCTCTCGCAGAGTCTTTCCAGGAAGAAGAGGTTCTGCCTCGTCTATGCCTGAAGCCCAGGGGCAGGGTGACGGTAGGAATGTGGGAGAGGTTCATGCAGGCAAAGCCAGACATCCGGAGGCGTGTGGAGCGGCAGACACCTTGGCGAAAGAGCAAGATTGCGGCAGAGATGGGTCACATTTATACGACTCTGTCTGGGCGCATCCACTCTTCGCATCAGATTGGCGACGCTGCCGTGGTGATTGGGACGGATGTACTCACGACGGAAGAGTGTCTCGGTGTGGGAGCCCTCCTGTATGACTTTGTGCCCATCGAGTTCCACCCGCCAGAGCTCATGGAGAAGTTTGAGAGAAATGAGGAGGAAGGTACGGCTGAGGACGTTCAGGACAAGGCAGGAAAGGGAGAAGGGGAAAGACAGTAGGCCTTGGAGACTCTGCCCTTGTACAGAGAGTGGAAGCAATCAGGGGGTAAAAGACTTCATGTGTGTGTGTACAAAGAAAAAGTCCTTGTATGTTTCACATTTCTAGGTCACGCTGGCCTCGTTATCCTTTGTTGACTCCTAATGCTCCCACACCGTGACGTACAAGCGGTGACTGCACCCATCGATCCCGAATGTGGGAGAGGGTAATGCAGGCGGAGCCGGACAAATGAAGACGTGTGTGCTCGCAATTTTTGGGTGCCAATACGGCAATAATTCGCTGTCGCATGAATCTTCTTTTTACACACCATACCCCACTCGACCGAATTTTGTAACAGACCTCGCTCCTCTCATTTTGGAGTGTTCCGACTGCCATCACATTTATCAGCAGACGAAGTCACGTATCTCTACATATCTAAGCTTTATCCGAGCATCATCCTGCATGCAGCCCCTCATTCTTTACGCCGCCAAAGCCAAACCCACGCTTTGCTTCTCGTAATTGAAAGTCGTGTAGTACCGGCGCATGAAGGAATCGCCTGATGGAGAAAAGATTGGCAATTTGAACAAACATGAGGAAATGGCCCGCAACATTTGTGCCAAGGCGTCCATCTGACTCAGTAAAATCGCTGTACTTTGACGATGTACCACCCGTGTATTCCTCTGTGATCCCACTTTTCAACCCTCTTCCTACCCAGAATCCAGAGGGGGCCGGAGGGGCGGGGAATGTCCAAGCCCATGAAGGCGAAGAGGCAGAGGCCGCCGTCGCGGATCTTGTAGTCGTCCGCGCTCAGTGAGTAGGTGCGCCTGAAGAGAACGTAGGAGGACCAGGACGTTGGTCAATGGGTGACCATCTATTCAAAATCACACACCTCGACGCGCCACTTTCTCCTATCTGACGCGCAGAAACGATGCTGCCAACGAGCTCTCCTCCCCTCTTTCCTCTCTAGCCTACCCGTCGATCACAAAATCGATGTCAGGGCCTTGGGCGTTGCAGTCGATCAAGTACTCCCCCAAGATGAAGCGGGTCGCCCCCACCAGCTTCGCCAGTTTGGCCACCTCCTTCTTGGGCCCCGTGATCAGCGAGGTGCCTTTCCCGTACGGAGAGGCGGGTCCGGAGGAGAGGGGATGTGAACGAGAGGGCACAATGTCAAACGGTCGTTCTCAAGGCAGCCTCCTACCCAGCCCCCGCCTCGCGTCATCCCTGTTCCTTACCCGAGTCGATGATAGCGGAGTCGACATTAGTGAGGGAGAGGCCCTGGACCTGCACGTCCTCGAGGGCGACCTCCCAGTACGTAGCGGACTGGGGCAGCAAGGAGGACGAGAGTTGGGGCGAGGGGAAGAGAAGCAGAGAGTGCATGGGGGATACGGGTCAGTCATCCTCTGTAATGCTGCTGTCTACTCTTCTTTTTTATAATATGCTTCAGCAGGTGGAAGATTGCTAATCTTAAAATGTTCCCCACATCTTTCATCCCCTCCTTGCCTTTACCTTAAGAGGCACGTAGTGGATATCCCCTTTGTAGTGGGCCGGATCAGTGCCCCCCAGCGTCAGCTCACCCGGGGCATTGTCCTGTGTGTCCGAGGCCATTGAGCGGTGAGGCTGGTGAGTCGCAGACGGGCTCAATAAATGAAGAAAAGGAGGAGCACGACAGCACATTGAAAAATGCGGGGCATTGGAGGCTCTGTGCAGCGTCTATGCATAGAACGCCTCCCGCCTCTCTCTCCATCTGCAGGGAGAATAATGATAAAGACGGCGGCAGGCCGAGAAGGGACGGCACGCACCCCAAGGTAGAAACTGAAGACGGGTTCCGCGACAAGACCCTGCTTGATCAGGTTGTGGAAGGGCGTGGTGACCTTGCCCACGGAGATGGAGTCGAAGCCTAGGCTAGAAGTCGGGAGGAGGGGAAGGAGAGGATGAGGGGTCTAGCGCGGGGGCGATGCGAAGAAGAGCAAAGCCAGCCCGCTCCGGGCTATGGCGTCGGTTGCCTCTCAAGTCCCCCCCCGCCTTCTCCTTTCGCCCGTCCCCCTCCACCCCTCTCACCCCAAAATGCCATCGAAGGATCCGGCGGCGAAAGCTGCGCCCAATCCCGAGGCGTCCGTCACCTCGGCAAAGGCCTGCTGGGAGATGGTGAGTCCGCCAAGCTCCACGTCGTCCTCCGAGAAGTATCCCTGCCAGAAGGAGAACATGGATAGAAGGGGACAGCACCAATTTAGGACGGTGGCCTCGAAGTAAGCGATGATTACGAAAGTAGTGAAAGGGGGGGAGAGGAAGGACGCATGTGGCAACCCAAAAAACGCCGGGAGGGGAGGGAGGGAGGTTGGGGACTCTACCTGGACAGGGCCGCTTCCGTACATGATCTTGAAAATGGCCCCATTTTCCACGTAGGTGTCGCTGGCATCGTGGTCGTACTTGGCCTTTGAGGCGCAGGACGCCAAGCAGTCCTCGGAAGGGATCCAAAGGTTGGAGGATCCTGTGTCAAAAATGACCTGTCAAGGCGCAGGGTGGTGTTGGCTGAGGTGATCCATGCAGACGCAACCGAATTCAGTCATGAAGTCCTCCGTCACCGCCTCGGATGACGTATCCCAACAATTAAATACTACAAATCATTTCCCACCCACTAACTTGGAATGCCTGTCGGTCCGACCCCACGCTTATCTCTCCAAAGTACTGCGCATTGGACACATCCGAGATAATGATATCGCCTTCTCCGGGCTCATCGGTGCCCTGCAAAGGCCTGTCAAATTCGATGAAGAAAGCCATATTTTCAGCTTAAATCCGAAGTAGTAGTGGCATAATGGGGCTTGGAGGAATTTAAAAGGGGCCCGGGTGGCACTCGCTCCCCTTCTTATTTTGCGCGTGCATTACCAGCAAACACAGCGAAAATTACCTTTGGGGATGCGCAAGAATGGAGTCAATCACCTGGGCAGCAGGACGCCGCTTCAACGGAATGCGTAATGTTTGCCCCTTGATAGATTCCAGCACGGCCAGAGACAGAAGGCAAAGAGAAAGGCGCATGAGCACTTGTCAGTCCTGTAAGAGGTAGGTGGAAACTGTTCCGAGAAGTGAAGGAAGCGCGGCGCAAAAACAGTCAGACAACAAGAGAATCCGGGCATGCCCGCCTGCTGGTGAGAGAAACCTCCAAAGACACAGCCGTAATTGTGCCACACCGTGTGGCCTGCGCGGGAGGCACGAACACCAAGGATAAAGGTTTGAATGCGTGCGGGAAAAAGCTTGTCAGCGAGACCCGCCCTCGCTGTGGGAGGCTTGAACTCCCCGGCGGACGTGGGAAAAATTTGTCCCAGAAACACATTAACGGACCAAACCTGGAAAATCATTTGCATTCAAATCCATCCTGATGTGTATTACAAGAAGTATTACGAGATTGGGCAAGTCACTGGCATTTAGTACCGCGGCCATTGTCAGAAAACATGCCGCTACGCTTCACGGTAGCGTAAAGGCTTTGTTGAAGCTGGAAAAAAAAGCGTCCGCAGGTGACATCTCCACGCGTTCCAAAGCTCATTAGATCCATCATTCTCACTCATAACTTGTCTATCGTTTTTATATCTACATAGCTGACATCTGACGCCTCACCATGCGCTCAAAATACTCAAATGTGCTCTTTTTGGTGCCTCCACTGCCCAGATCGATTTCTACCTCAAGAGAACTCACGATTGACGCACGATGTGCTGTCTTCTAATATTTTCCTAGTACTCCCAAGCTTTGCATACTTGAGTCCTGCAGTGGGGTTTATATTGACTGACAAATTTCGTTTAGTCGACTGATCTCGGGCTCCACTTTGTCCGTCGAGGGCACTATGACTGATGCATTCCTTTACTGATGCAAATGTAGCGCGATGCTTCCCGAAAAAGGCGCAACATATACAGCTCCTAAACGAAAAACATATTGAAAAATGAAAAGAAAAGACACCTGCGTTGGGAAGATGCAAGGATGACCAGGCGCGAATTTTGCCCCGTGCCCGCCACTTGTCCAACAAGTTCGCATGATCCATCCCCAGGCTCTTGTCAGCATCATGTTCGTTGTCCTATTGAAACGATTGCTTGTTTTCATCTATACTTGCCATTCTCAAGCCACGTTTAGTGGCGTTTTATCCCTATACACGCATCCTTTTCTTCCCGAGAGAGGGAGGCGTCATCGAAGTCTACACGCCGTCATTCTACTCCACAAAGAAAATCTCCTTTCTCGCCAGCTTGCGGATGCCCAGCCGTTCATAATCCTTAGCAGAACATCATCCGACCATTCACCAGCCTATTTTCACCAAAAATAAGTCACATTGTGAACACCAGCTATCCTTTTAACACCAGCTATCTTTTATTCGAGCTCCTCTATTCCTCTTGTCCCATAACCCCCCTCTTCCAGTCTCTGTTCTCATTCCAAGCCTCTAATCCTCCTTCAGCTCCGAAGCCCCCGCACCTGAAGGGCTCATGATCAAGCCCCCTATTTCTCCTCCCAAGGCAGCGCTTCCTTTCCTCGGCGAGGCTTTTCGACCCGTCTTGAGGGGCCCCGTCTGCGCCGCCGCCCAGTACTTGGTCATGAACTTGAAGAACCACATCATGTTCACAACGACCAGACCCACGGCTGCGGCTTGGTGCAGGGGGTGGGATTTGGGCTCCATCAGGATGACGCAGGCGAGGATAGGCGCTAGGATGGGGATGGTCAGCGTCATGGCAAGGGCGAAGATGGCCTGATGGGGGAGGGGCCGAGGGAGGCAGGGACCCGTGTGAGTGAGCCATCAACATCTCCATGACGCATCTGCCACGTCCAGCTCCCGCATCATTATCCCTTTCTTTCCCCCTTCCCACCTGGTTCGTGCGTGCCAGGGTCGTATCCTTCCACCCGACTTCCCGCAACAAGTAGCGCAGATACATGAAGGGGTTCGCCAGCTCCGCTACAAAGAGCGCGAAAGTCACATCGGCGCCGGAGCGGCCCGAGGACCAGCATGCCCACGACCCCACGAGACATGAGGCGTGGTGGAAGAGCTGCATCCAATCATATCTGCAGGGAAGGGGGAGGAAAAGAAGAGGAAAAGAGACCAAGAAGCGGCCGGGAAGATGCAGCGTGAGAAGAGGCTTCGCACAGAAAATGAATGAGAAAGTTTCAATCAGAGCAACTATAATCCTAACAATCTAAGATCCTATCGAATTGCTTGTTTCCCCCCCGCCCGCCGCCCATTTTCCCTGCTCCCACGTACTTTGCAATAACGTAGCCGTAGATGATCCAAGAGATCAGATCGTAAAGGAAGAAGCCTCCTGCCACGTTTACTACGATGTCCTGCCCAGGCGTATTAATCCCTCCGATTTCCAAAGGCCGGCACATGAAGGATAGGCGGTAGGCGAGGGTCATAGTGGTGAATGCGTGGAAGATTGCGACCACCCGCGTCTAGAGGGAGGAGTGGTCGAAAATTCGCGGACTCATTGGAAAGCTTCAGGATTCGACAACGTTTGGGTGTCTTCAATCGATCATTCGTATGTACTCTGCATGACTAAATCATTGTGGTTTACTGTCGACCCACGACTGACGTCGTTTGGTTCCCGTGACTTTCCGTACCTTATAACCGAATGTGCGCCCCTTGAAGATGGGCAAGACCTGGACTATTCCAAAAAGCAGAGACCATATGGTGGCAGAGACACAGACGCCACTAATCTGTTTGACAGGGTGTTATACAAATTTAACGAGGCAAAAAGCCGTAGGTCAGAAACTAGCCAAAAGTGTTCCATTGCTACATTGCTATCATAATTAGAGCTTACCGGCGCTGCCATCCATTGAGCTGTGATGCCCAGATTGGGGCCAAGACAGGAGGCTGCGGCTTGAGTTCCGGCCATTGTACGCTTTGTGTGATGCCGGCGCCGAAATCACTGAGCAACACAAGAAACAGTGTCCTCCTCCTCTTCCTACTACGTGATTGTGTTGCAGACGGTGAATTGAACTATTATATCTCATTTAAGGAACAAACGATTGAAGGTGCTGCGAAATGTAAAGCTTGTAAGGGAATTCGACAAACTAAGGACCACCGAGAATGTTTACTTGCATTCCTAACTTTCCTTTTTGTTTTGCTTCGTGCATCTTACGATGTTACGATGAGAGGAAGCCCACATTAATCGTTCAAGCAGAATTTGCGTAGTGAAGTCTAGCGAGGGAAGGCCTCTCTGCCCCTTGCAAAACGTGAAGAGCAACAACACCCTATTTGAGCCAGACGGCGAAGGGACGCAGAGGGAAGCTGACAAAGCTGCCATCAGCCCGAGTAACGGTTTTTCAAATCTTCAAAGGCCGAACCGGGGTCTCGCACATACACCTGGCCAGGCGTTTACCTTCGTGGATGTTTTCTTAAGTCTTTTGACTGAAATTATGAGACATGAATTAAGAGAAAGGCAAATAAAGATGATCAAGTTTGACGGGGAAGCCATGACTTTTAAACCAATGCTTTGAAGCCGTCTTTTCCAAAAAAGACATCCTTCAAGGCACGTCGTCTCCCGCGTGTAAATGCTCGTGGTGAGAGGAACCCACACTTTTGATACATTTCTAATTATTGGCTCATTTCAATCATCAATATGATCAATAAAACTTCTTATCTGATACCGATACGACAGGCCGTTATCCCGACCTCTCATTGTGCGTGGCGTACTTGCATTTTTAAGCTACTGCCTTAAATAAATAGCGATTAATATCAAGAGACCCCTACAAAAAAATGACAAAAAGACAAGCAGATCCTGTTCCACTACCGTCTGCTCCTCCAATGTCTCACTGCTCTTCTTCATGCATGTCAAATGAGCAACAGATCCGTCTCGACATCACGTCGCCTATCAAGAAGCAAAGACACCTCCCCGCTTTGCAGCCATCTTCCTCATCCCTCGATTGTGCCACCTCGTACAAGTACTCGGTTGAAGCAAATGCTCAAGCTGAGGCAAATACAGCCAAGAGAAGGCAAAGTCGTACCCGAAACACAGTTCTTGCCATGGTAATCGTTACAGAGCTCATCGTCCAAATTTTGTCGGCTGCAATGGTGCCTTTCTTTCCAGATCACGCGAAGAGGTATCTCAACGCCGACTCCACCATTGTTGGTGTCATATTCTCCCTGTATCCGCTCTCTCTTTTTCTAACCAGCCTTGTGATAGGCATGGCCTCCGCCCGCTTCGGCCGTGCTTTTGTGTACACAAGCGGCCTTATCCTCCTTGGGGGCGGCACCGTAGGTTTCGGTTTTTGCAACGACCTCACCTCTATCATGATCATGCGGGTGGTTCAAGGAATTGGTGGTGGCTGTATTAACGTGGCAGGTATGGCGTTGCTTCTGCAAGTCTCCATTAACATTGAGAGAGACGTGGGCCTCGACCAAGCCGCCATCGGGTTGGGTTACATTGTAAGTCACTTTTGGCTTGTCTTGGTGATTATGATTCAATGGGAAAGGTTTCAGCTGTTCTTCTAATGTTTTGAAACACGCTTTTCTTGCTCTTCCTGACCTCGCTCTACCGTCTGTCTCTGCTCGCCTTCGTCCTTCGGCCTTGACCTCACCCGCTCACATGTCCTTCCATTTAAAACAGCTGGGTCCTCCTCTCGGCGCCATTCTCTACGCCTACATGGGCTTCCGTGACCTTAATCTTGTCCTGGGGGCTATTCCTATTGCCCAGCTTTTCCTCTTTCCCTTCGTCGCTCCCTCCATCCCCTCCCTGACATCCGTCGGAGACACGGCCTCTACCGGTACCTCCCCCGCCAAAGACGATGCGCCCCAGAGCCTCGAGCCTGCAAAAGGGCGCACAAAGCCGCCCAGTGACGACTCTCTCTCCCTCCGCACGCCCATCCCTACAAGTCTAGGCGTCCCCTCCCTTCTCCTCGAGGCCCCCGCCTCCCTCCACCCCGCACAGAGCTTTTTCGCTCTCACCTCTCTCCCCATTCTGGTTGTGGCCACCACCAGCGTCTTCGCCTTTACTTCCCTTGGCCTATTTGACCCGCTCGTCCTCCCTCACTTAGAGCGTGCCCTGGGGGCTTCCGTCCAGGCCGTGGGCGGGACCTTCATGATCCCGTGCGTGGTCTTTACGGGAGTCTCGCTCTTTGCGGAAGGCTTTATGAAACGGCTCGGCTACAAACAATCCATTTTAATGGGCCTGACGCTGATGGTCCTCGGCTTTCTCTGCTTGGGACCTGCTCCTTTCCTACTGGGACTGCCGTGGACTCGGGTAGGGGCCTGGATCGACCAGGTGCTGGGCTTCGTCTTCTTCGGTGTCGGGTTCGCATTCGTAGTGGTGGCAGTCGTTCCTTTGATGCATTCCTACTTGAAGCATGCGGGAAGCGAGAAGGAGGATTTCATTTCGGCCGTAAACAGCGCCGCGTCGTCTTTAGGGGAGTTTGCCGGGCCCATTCTGGGGGGAGTCATGTTCGAGAAGCTGCCAGCTCGACGAGAGATCTCGTGCACGGAGGGGGGGGACTTGAATCATTGTGAGACGGGCGCTGCGTGGACGTGCTTCATCTTCGCCTGCATCCTCGTCCCTGTCATCTTTTTCTTCTGGTGGCTGGCCCCGGGGCAGGGACAGGAGATGGGTCAAGAGAGGAAGGAGCATAGACCAGATGAGGGGCCAGGGCGAGAGGGGAAAGGCACGGGGGCGTGCATACCTGTCAATGGAAGCGAGGACTCCTGGAGGCGGCCGGTAGGGCAAAAGGCAGATGACGGCATGCCCCAGCCACTCTCGCGGGACATAGAGGCCCCATTCTCCTCCACAAGTGTTTTGAAAAGCCCAACGCGACCGTCTCCTGTCCACCCGCGGAGGCCTGGTGGCGTCTCTACGCGACAACAAGGGGACAATTGATCGACGCTCACCCCTTACAGGGACAGAGACACAGAAAAGGGAATGGATTGTTGCGGAGAAAGACGGATGACCCTTCTCTTTCAGGTGACATAGTGATTAAAATGAATCGAGGTTTTTCATCCTAATAAAATTAAGGAGCGATCATTACTGCAATTTAATCAATTGCGTTTTTAGTACCAAGCTGATCAATTTGAACTCGATACCTGTCACTGCGAGGTGGTGGCGCTTGATAGTGACGCTGTGTTTATCTTATTTCTTCTCGGCATTGATACACAAGTTCTCTTCTACGATTTTACCTATACCTAAAAAGACTAAAGAATACATGCGGGTGCACCGCCGAATAGGCAACTAAAGCGCAAGGCAAAGAACCATGTCACACAAAGCGAGAAATACAGTCTTACCGCCCCTTCTATCCTCCCCGCCCATCCAACCTCCCGCTGAGTCATTTCTCCTTCCGCGCACCTATACCCGCCAAACTCCAGCAACCCCCCCTCATCGTGGCTGGAATTCCTTCTTGTGGTGGCAAGGCGCGCTGTCGGAGCCATCGCCCAAGTGCGTGCCCACCCTTCCACAGCCCTGCTCCTAAGCCTACCCCGAGGCTTGAAACCGCCGTCACGAATATACAAACACCAAGTCGGTGAAGCTTTGGACTCAAGGGAGTCACGTCAGGACGTCCTTCTCGGCGGAGGAGGATTTTATAGGACCAGAGGGGGTCGTTGTTCATGCCCCGTGAGGGCCCAGGCGCGGGAAAGGCAGCCTTGGAATCGAGAGGCCCCGAGCTGCTCGTCGACTTCGACGAAGGCCCTTCCACGCTTCCTGGACCCTTATGCCCCACCTCTCTTCTTCCCGCCTTGGACCCGGCTAGGGACAGCGTCATGTTCGACGCCTTTGCAGACTCCAGCGCGGCCACACACAGGCAGGCTACGTCCTCCCTACTCACCCTCCCCACTGGGATCTTCCCCCCGTCCCCTTTCCCTACCAGACTCTCTGGTGCCGCCGCTGCGTCGGTGAGGGCCCCAGGCCTGATCACGGTGTAATCGACACCCGAGGCTCGGATCGCCCGCTCTCCCGCTAGTTGCCACCGGACTGCGAAGGAGATGACCAGGTTCAAGAGGCAGGTTATGGGGTTGAAGGCCGAGTAGCCCACACTCAGGCCCGTGACGCGGATGAACTTGGGCACGCCAGCTTGCCGGGCGGCCTGCAGGAGGTTGAGCGTTCCGAGGTAGTTGACGTTGTAGGGATGCTCCCTGGGGTAAGTGGTCGCAAGGGAGGAGGCGGAGTGATAGCGGGAGTCAAAAGAAGAGGAAGAGTCGGAAGCGCTCCACTCCCGTGGAGTGACAGCTCGCTTGGCCAAGGAGATCAGATGCAGGATGGCGTGGAGAACGAAGGCGGCCGTGTCCATGAGAGGATGCGTGACGCGACTGGCCCCACTCACTGCAATGCACGCCACGCACCCACGTATTGGTGCAAGCAACGAGGAAGGATCCGTCACGTCCCCCTTCATGATAGTAACCTTGCCGACCGTCCCTTTTTCATCTTCTTGCGCGAGAGGCAGAAGTGCCAGGGCTTTGGCGGGTGCGCTGTCGGGGTCGCGGGCAAGGGCCACGACTTGATATCCTCTTGACACGAGGATTTTCACGACCAAGCCACCTACGCGTCCCGTCGCGCCCACCACTAGAACTTTTGATGCGGATGAAGAAGGAAGAGGTGGAGGGGGGGGACGGTCGCGTTGGGAACCGAGTGGAGGAAGCTTAAAAGCATGGACGCGAAGAGTTAGGGCAAGAGCGAGCAGCAGGATAGATTGTGCAAGAAACCTAAAAGTGTTCAAGCTCTTATTGCCTCTTTTACTAGTCTTGTGTATGCAATTATTCTGTATGTTCTCATCCTGTAGCCGTCTTCTCTTCATGACGCCTGTCCACGGACATGTGATAAAGAAGCGAAAATGAGGCGTAAAGAACGGCCTGGAGAAGTCGTCTGAGGGAGGAGGTCAAAATAGAAAGTATGCTTCAGCAACAAGATGTGAGATTATGAAAACTGTCTGAAAAAAGCAATTCAGAACATGAGTACTTTACATCATCGCTACCAGGACTCATGTTCTTGTTCTGGGTAGAGGTCCTGCTTCAGAAATTCGACTATCACGAGTGGTCACACATCCATGGTCCTAACGGCCACAAGTGCAGACATATTTCAGCCACTGAGATACCACCCTTCATGTTGCTTCGCATTAAAAGCTGAAAAACCCACACCAAAACGAAAATCGTAATGGAAAAACCAGGAATCACACTCTGATCTTGGACTCGCCGATGTATATACCTTGACAGCTTGGTGTGCTGGTGTAAGACTATACTCGAACAGAATCAGTTCTATAGTATAATCTCCTCTGTCTGTACTACACAAGTCAGACAACCCTTCCAACTTTGGTGACGAGAAGAGGTCCAGTCACGGAAACGTGACATATGCACTTCCTTCCTATTCCGAGCCCTTCGGAGCCCGGTGGAAGAGTGCTGGAAGACCGTCCCCCTCAGGAGTGCCCTCGTGGCCGATGAAGGGTGAGTGACATGGACGGACAGAAAAGTTGAAAATACTATCCCTAACCCTGTGAGCCTCCAATATTACAGTATGAACCTCAACCACTTCAATCATCCAAGAGATGTCTGGCCATCCCTGACATACGCCTAGTTGAGGCCGTTTCCCTAATACACATCGCGTGAAGGATGTAGTACGTTGCCAGCACAGCCTTGTCAATAAAAGATAATGACTTAGCCACGCGCTTATTGCATACCCAACACCTGATTGATCCTCTAGTTTAAACGCAACACGGAATATGACTAGGCTCGCTTTATCATTGGTCTGCTGCCTGTTAGGGTATTCCCTAACCATCACTACGGCCTTCGTGCCTGTCAGACAGCCACTGCACACGCATCAGCCGAAAGACCTGCAACCAAAGGCGTATAAGAGCTTGGCTGCCAACAGCAACTGGTTTACCTCCGTGTTGTCTAAAAACAACGGGTCGAAGGGGAAATCTGCTGCTGATGCTGCAGCGGTGGCGGCTTTGAAGCAAGACCTTTACGCAGTAGCGAAGAACAAGGACAACGGACTCAAAGCCACGGAAAGCGACAAGGCGAAGATCTTGTCGCTTGCGTCGGAGCTGATCAAACGTAACCCGACCAAAAATATTGCCACCAGTGATAAGGTGGACGGGACGTGGCGCCTGGTCTATACTAGCACCTCGGGAGGTTCAGCAGGCAAGCTCGGCCCTTTCGTGGGTCAGGTGCTGCAAAAGATCGACACGGCCGGAGGAGACTACGTGAATTTCGTGCGTCTTTTCGGTGGACTTGTGGAGGGTGCCCTGGTGGCGACTTGGGAGGTGAAGGGCGCAAACGAGTGGAAGGTCATCTTCCAAGACATCACGTTCCGGGTGTTTGGCATCCCACTTGTGGACAAGAAGCCTCTGTCAGGGCAGGCAGGGCAATGGAAGCTCACGTATGTAGATGAGGATCTACGAATTTTGACGGCGGCAGCTTTGACCAATGAGGGTAAGCCGGCCAAAGTTTCCAATATCTACGTGCTACGGCGGGTCTGAGGGTTACGAGTTTCGTGCTATCTGCAGGACGAGAGAGGATAACCCAAACGTGGGTACCAAAAAATTGATAAGTTAAAAAAAAAAACATCGAGATTGCGTAGGTCGAAGTAGAAACTTTTGTTTAACTCGTTTTATTAACATGGCCTCGACTCACAAGGCGTGTGGACGGGGGCAATCAGAAGTCCGTCACGTTGCCTCAAGAGCAGGGCAGAGACCACCCTAAGAATACACTCGGAAGCTCCCCGGGACATGTCTTTGAGCCTTTTTAAATTAATCTTAACCAGCAACATCTTGAAATAGGAGCATTAAGCGCCCACAGGCATGAGTAGCGGCAGCAGGAATGCCGGCACTGCCTTCCGCAGTCGTCGAAGACCTTTTCCCGAGGTCTGGGAAGGTGTAGATGCTGAGGAGGCGGAAATTACAGTCCATGAGGGTAAACTTTCAAATTATAGAGCATTAAACCAGCCTAAGGCGCCCTCAAGTCTTGTGCGTACCGCAGGTGACAAGATTAATGTGGCCGAAAAGGAGAAAATCGATGAGGGGGATGGGCGGAGGGCAGAGGCTGAGGGCAACAGGCAGGGTGCAGCGGAGGAGGAGGAGGAAGAAGAGGAACAGGAGGAGAAGGAAATTGGCAACGCGCGAAGGGAGGATCAAGGAGACTCGACTTCCTCGTCCTCTACCCGTGTGAGGGCAGACCTTGGAAACCAGCGTCCATCCAAGCGACACCGTCCGCGTCGTCCGTTTGCCCACATCAAGGCCGACATCCTGCGCGCGAAGACCCTCGTGCGTCGTGCTCAGGAAGAGGCGCGACTCAAGACGCTGCAATCGTCTTCCACCAAGTGGCAGCGGTTGCTGGAGGGCGTCTGTGGCGGGGCAGGGACGCGTGGGTACGCTTGCTTCTGTGGGGTTGCTGGCGCGGAAGGCCACAGGTAATTGAGCACGGTGCAGGCACAGGCGACGTTTGAGATTGAATCGGGGACTTGTTATGGGGAAGGTTAGCAGAGAGGAGGGCGTGGAGGTGGAAAGGGATGGCCGTTGGTAGGAAGGATCGGGCCGAAGGAAGAATGGAGGACAGCGTCACGTCCCTATCAGATAGACCGCGCTGGGAGGAGAATCTCTCAGGCTAAGCACCCTCCCACCCTAAGCCTTACCTCCCTCGGCCATTCCCTCCCCACTCCCGCCCCACAGGCGCCTCCACCGCCTTCGTCGCCCTCTCGGCGCTGGCCTCCTTCTCCTTCATCTGGCGGGGCGCGGTGCGTCGGCGGGGGGTGGAAGCGGCCCAACGCCTCACGCAACTCGCCGCTCTCGATGACGACCCGTACGTGCCCGGACTCTGTGGCTGGCAGGGGCTGGGAGGGCAGTGCTGTCTGCATGTTGGTGGGATGTGCCGAACAGTCTGAGCAGACCGATTGTCTGAGTGTGCGCGCTCTCCTCCCTCACCCCGCTCACTCTCTCCAAACGCGATGCGGACCCCGTGCCTGTCATGCCCCTCTTTCCCTATGTCCTTCCGGTCATGCACCGTCTCTCTCCTCTCTCCCTCAGTGCCCGCATTGCTCGTCTCCTCGACCTGCTCGAGGCGGACCCCCCGGCTTTCTTCCGGGACCAGGAGGTGAGGGCGCAGGCCGTCGTCAGGGCGGAGGGGATGGAGGGCGATGATTTATCCTTAATTATCCAACCTCAAACACGTATTATGTCGCTTCTCCTGCTCCTCACGTTTCTTCCCCCTCCCTCTCTCCCTCCCCGTCTCCCTTTTTCCTTCTACAGGTAGTTGCCCTCCTTTCCCGGGCGGGGGGGGAGCTCATTTTGTTTCGCGATGAGGCGTTGGTGGAGGAGGCCCTAGTGGGGAAGGTGGTGGCAACAGGGTCTACGGCCTTCTTGCGGCAGGTGAGGGAGGGAGGGAGGGAGGAGGGAGGGAGGGACGGATGGAGGGAGGGA